GTTATTATCGTTAGATTTGATTAAAAATACGCATTCTACTTGTTAACATCATAAATTAAATTTGCGATAATTTGAGCAGAGAAGTTCGACGACTGGATCACTGTGTACAGAAGGTTGATATGCCAGCAAACACTTTCCAGAGAGCAATATATCTTGGATAAGTCGCTCCACGATATTGTTGCTTGGACCATCGACTTCCTTTGATATTGCATATTTACATCTTATTTTGTTATGAGATGATATTTTTTCAGAGTAAAATTATGTTTTCTCATTTTCTGCATCCAGCATCCACATTATAGTGAGTAAATATACCATATTACTTCATTGCTTACGTAATGCTAGGAAGGTTTGAGTAGCTTTGGGTCTTTAGTGGACAGAATCTCCAATAGATGGGGCGAAAGTCGCCCCATCTCTCTCGACCGGGCGGGACTCGAAACTTAAATTAAAATTGCTATATCATTGGTCTCCAACATGATATATTTCCTTTGATGCACTCACAATAACGATTATAGCTCTGTCTTTCTGGAGGCATGTAATATTTTAGGCTTTATTAGCGTATCTTTGTTAATTACACAACATATTGGCAAGTGCGTAGGCGTCTGCACTCCATGACCGAAAAGCTACTGAACGCCACTATAAAAACATATATATCTTCACTTGAGCTTTAAATATGTCTAATGTAATGTATTTAAAATAAAGCTTATATTTCTATCTTTCTTAAGACGTGTAAAACATTTGTGTTTATTAACGAATTTACGTAAAATAAACATTCTTCTGAGAGAGTTGCTCTGTCGCTCAGTCTATGCGGGGGTCGGAGCTCGGCGATTATTAAAATACATGAATCTTCATTAGAACTTTAATTATGTCTATGATAAAGTGTTTAAAATGAGCCTTATATCCCTATCTTTCTTGAGGCATATAAAAAATTTATGATTATTTACAAATTTACGTGAAATAAGCATTGTTCTGAGAGAGAGTTGCTCCGTCGATCAATCTGTCCGGAGTCGGAGCTCGGCTATTATAAAAGTACACGTATCTTCGCTTTAAATTTAAATATGCCCATGGTAAGGTATTTAGAACGAAGCTTATATATCTGTCTTTCTTGTGACATATAAAACTCTTACGTTTATTAAGGAATCTGCGTGAAATAGGCATGGTTCTGAGATGAATGCTGCGGTTTTCGAGTTTGACGAGCGATGAAAACTGCCACTTTTATACAACTACAAATATCTTCGGTTTTACTTAAAATATTTGTCTGGTAGAGGTTTTACATATAGATCGCGTTTCTGTCTTTCTTCTGACTAATAAATAATTTTGGTTTAATCAGTTATCAAGATGTTTTCAACAATATTCTTTCAGCGTTCGTCTTTTCCAATTTGGGCGACCCTTTTGGAAGCGCGATACTTGGGTTAACCCATCCTATAGTTGGGTCTGTTTCCAACTGGGGTTCGAATATTACCATGCACACCAAAACGAAGTCCGTGAAGGGTAATAAGAAAAAGCTCACCTTTTGGGAATAGCCAGGCTAGCCAGGGTAGTAGTAGTGAAGTAGTAGTGAAGTAATAGTGAAGCTGCTTACCCCTTAGCAAAGCATTTTTCTGGCAAGCCTTGCCAGAAAAAAATCACAGACCCAGACACTTGTTACTACATATCTTAACTGCAGCTATCCTAACTCTCTTCTCCTTTTACCAGTCATCCCGACATGTTATGTCCATCATTCACGCACTAAAAACCAAAGTTGGGAATACTAGTGACCATCTTCAAACACTATACTATCTTGGCATACAAGAGTGCCGCTCCTGCCCTGGCACTACCTGTAGTTAGTTTAGTTCCCCCTGAACATACGATTAAATTGCGTACTTGGGTAGATTAGATACACAGTGTTTAATGGTTTTGATATTTATTTAGTAGTCTTGGGTACAGAAGTCAGTTGTTGGCAGTGTCGTAGACGTTGAGACAAAGCCTGGAGCAGAGCAGAGAGCTGTGTGTGGCCAGAGCCGCTGAGCCCGATGCGGGAGAGCGTGGCGACTCAATACGGGCTGGTCGGCCGAGTGGACAGCACGCTGGACTTGTGATCCTGTGGTCCTGGGTTCGATCCCGGGCGCCGGCAAGAAAAATGGGCAGAATTTCTTTCACCCTATGCCCCTGTTACCTAGCAGTAAAATAGATACCTGGGTGTTAGTCAGCTGTCACAGGCTGCTTCCTGGGGGTGGAGGCCTGAGAATAGTCTGGTTGATCAAATTTTAATGATAATTTTAATTTTTAATTAATATATGGGGTCGACCGCTGGATGTAATGGACATGAATCGAGGACGGGTTGGGCTATTTGCAACTTTTGTTCAGAGAAGCTGAATCTAAAACAACAATAATTGAAATTGGTAGTACCGATAGCAGCCACCAGGCCTCGCCAAGACTCTCAAAGTGGGTTCTTTCCACGAGTTGGTGGTGGTTAGTGGTACCTGTCGTCGCTCTGGTCCGTCAGTCGTGCTACGCCCCTCATTCAAGGTACTGTGTCGACCATCCTTTGAACTTTGTCCTATGTGGCCATTTTACTAGTGTACTGTGTTAGTGTTTGCTTCACTGGGGTGTTTTATTCCCAGCTTGGCATTATAGGTTCAGTTTCTTCCAAAGAGTGCTGGTTCTACCCCTGCGCTCACAGCTTTCTCGATCTCTGGTGTGTTGGAAGTGCACTCCCATGAGGCATTGCCGCGGGTGGAGCGCCTTGCCTTGGGTGTTTTTTTCTCTGACGGATGACGGACACCCACTAACACAACCCATATGGCTGAAGGCGTATGGGTTGTGTTAGTGGGTGTGCAGTCTTTTGCCAACACCCTGTATACGGCACGCCGCAGCCCACAATGCCTGGGTGTGTAGCTTTTGTCATTACCTTCAGGACGAGACAGGTCTGTGGTGTAGTGGCTGTGGCCGGCCCCTCGAGACTCCTCTCGTTTTGGGCAACTTTGTTGGGTTATCGTTGTTTTCAGACGGTAATCAATCCTTTTGTCCCCGCCATGCTGAGGTTGGGTGCAACCCGGCCTCACACTAGGCTGTTTAACAGCGGCCGTCCTCCTCAGACGGCATTCATCGATTTTTAACATACTAACAAAAAATATGATATAGAAAAAATACTAATAACAGTAAAAAAAATGGCAATAGATAATCAAAAAGTTTCCAATTAACAGCATGTTGAAATTAAATACATCTTTGGGGGTCAGCCACTGAATGGAATGAACATAGCCCGAGGACGGGTTGTGGGATGGCAACCTATCCTCAATATATTTTCATGAAGGCAGCATTCGACCCCAAAGACGTATTTATCAATCCTCCAACCTGACCTCTGGATACCATAGTACTTGTCACATAATGCTCATTGGTCCTATGATGCTAATGTTCACAGTTTACCTGTGGTAGATTTACAGTTATAAGCTGTCACCAGGTACCAAACCCTTCGTCACGTACCATTGTACAGTACATCCCATAGTACCCGTCCCATCGCCGTAGACACCAGAATAATCTGTCTGATCAAATTTTAATGATAATTTTAATTTTTCCATTCCCACTGATGGTATGAGATTCGTCTCTTGAGGTTGTGATGTATGTGGAGGATCCCCTCCCTTTCCCCTGGTTCCCCATACTTGGACTAGTGAAGTGTATAGGGAAAAACTACCATTATTTCATATTTGCCTTGAATCGAAGGTTGGGTTAAGTAGTGTGCAAAATGCTGCGTGTGGTACTATACCAGACTCAAATTGGCCTGTGACGCTCATCTACCCCACTTGTATCATGCAAGGCATTAACCATTAACGTCTGGCCTTACACACGCAGCATTATGCACACTACTTAACCCAACCTTCGATATTCGATAAAGGTAATCTTCACAACCCGAAGGGGTTGACGGCGACGACCACGAGGGGGACGAGTAAAAGAGTCCACCTGGAGGACAGAATGGCCCTGGGCATCGAGGGTATGACGAATATCTTCGTGGCAGTCCTGGGGATTCCGAACACCGGTAGCAACATGGGATGGGAGAATAGTCCCAACACTGGCATTCAACCGAGCGTTCTTGGAGACCCAAACAGGGGTCTCGACAAGGCGGCCAAGCGGGAGGCTGCATCCTGAGGAGCAGCAGCAACGACACCCGAACTGAGACGGGTGGGGTGGAAAATAAGAGGCATCTATGGAATCAACAAGGTGCCTATGGAGGGAGAAATCGTCAGTAGGCGCAGAATCAATGGGGAGGAGATCAAAGTATTTGGCCCACGAAGCGTTGTTTTATTGTGCAGATTTGGGACCTGGCCCTCCAGTATTTTCCATGTATATATTATTTGATATCTCTCTTGTCTCCTTTCTAGTGAGAACATTTTGAGAGCTTTGAGACGATCCAAATAATTTAGGTGCTTTATCACGTCTATAGTCTATATAACCCTGACTGAACATATACGGTGTATGCCGTATATGTTCTCTGTATTCCCTCTATTTCGGCAGTCTCTCCTGCTCTGAAGGGAAAAGTGAGCACTTAGCAGTACTCAAGCTGGGACAGCACAAGTGATTTGAACCATAAATGATTAACTTTTTTTATGTAATACAGTATTTTAAGTGTTAGTGTTAAAGTTCCTAACTTAAGTTAAACCTTTTTATATCGAAGGGTATATTTACAACTTCATTTACCTTGTAAACACCTTTCTCAACTCTACTGAATCCTTCCTTATACTAGCATTAATAAACACACAGAAAATTGCATTAACATAATATATATTAATAAGAAAATCAACCAGGGCTGCGAGATGGGCGCTCACCTCGCAGCCCTGGTTTATTTTCTCACTAGCAAACTATTGCTCACTATTACCACACAAACCTTCAGTACTTCATATCCCTTTCCTATTTTGCTGCCATTTCCAGTTTAATGGCAGCTTCTGCTAGCTGCCAACATTATTTCTGCTTATGAATAAATGTTCCTATCACATTCACAAGCTGAAAGGAAACAATGTAAAAAGCCAAAGTACATTTAAATAAAGTATTTTATTTAACATTTTAAAAAGCAGAAATGTACAGCTTAGTTACAAGATCTTATAGGTGATCATAATCAGATAAAATGCTGCCCTGGTCTGCCAGATGATCCGCCATTGGACGCTACCCCTTCACAGAATCACCAGCCCACACAATGCCCTGCTGGCTATACTTTAAAACATTAAAGGATTTTTAAACATGTGGAGTGTATCACTAATAGGATATGACAGTCCCAATCTGTAAGAGCACAACTTGATAGTTTTATTTTAGCAAGTGGCCTACTAAATGCACATGGTTGGGGCAACACTTCAAGACCAATATTGCATCTTTCCTTGGGACTCGGGAAAAAAATCAATATAACTGATGAGGATTCTCGTTCCACGTCAATAATGCCTAGCCAGTGTACAAAACTTAAAAATATAAATCCTCAATTCTTACTGAAAATAATCAATAATATCTCGAGGCTGAACTGACCATATATTGCAAAATTAAATATGACTAAAAGAAAATGGTTTATAATCAATGGTCAAATAATTAAACTCTCATCTAGGAAAAAAAAAAGGAAAAAATAAAACTGGGAAACACATCCTTATACTCTATGAACATATTCCCAGAATCATAACTAAAGCTCTCAATACCAATGAGGAAAGAAATAGTATATTAAAATAATGTTTCCCTATGAAAGACTGGAAATTCAAAATCTACAGTGTATAAAAAGGACAAGAGAAAAAAAAGAAAAGAAAATGCAGAACTGGAGAGCCACTCTACAGTGCTCCACCAATGGTTTACTTTACACGGTTTATGCCACAATAAATACAAACAAAAAAGCCTCTACAACTGGATACAAAACCACAAAAGATGACTTCATTTCCCTCTAAAGCCAGATCCAAACCGACTTACCAGACTGACATGTTGTACATTAATACTCAAGAGATATGATTATCCACTGGGAAATGGGGCTCTGCATGCCCCCATTCCTGCCATCATTAAAACATTATGCTGACATTGGCCTCACACCAAGCTCAGTATCACAACGTAAAAGACTAAGACTTCTTTCATCACTAAAATAAACTTAGATTACACTGCCCTATAACAATTAAGCACACTTCTCAGTCAATTAATCGATTATTTAAGATCACTTTGTACTTAGATGAAAATCAGGCTTCACCCCAAGTCCATTAAACTGAACTCAGAACACCAGGTTCATGCCAAAATACAGATATCAACATTATTTTGCTCACTAATGTTTCTCCACACAGCATGGAGTCTCTAAATTATTAACTTGACCATCAAAGTTGCCAAGTAAAAGTAAATTAGTTATAGCATCATTTCTTAAACCATGTATAAACACCATAAATAAGTATCTAAAATATAGCTCTCACAACAGGCCCAAAAATATGAGTTTTCACTAAAAAAATCTTTGTGTAATTCAAGCAATATGGATATCAGGGTTCTTCACAACACACAAAAAGTTTGTGTTGTTCCACTTGATCACATACCCTGACACACCTTATTTCACTAGTCAAAATATTGCCTAGTCTTGCATAAGTCATACTTTCTGTAACTGCATTCAGCACAGCCAACACCAACATTGCACTTGCGCTGACAGTTGCTACTCATTAATAAGCACCATAATGAAAATACTGAGATTTGAGTGTTGGGACTATCGACGCATGGTGCCATTGAGCTGTAGTGGCGGCATGTAAGAATATGGTGGGTACATGGTGTTCTGGGGCTGGGAACGTGGGTCCTGGTACTGGCCAGCAGCCTGGGGGTGCATATTCATCATCTGCATGGGCAGCTGCTGATTCATAAATGAAGGGTTGGTCAGGTACGATGTGTTGAGGGGCGACATACCCCCCGGTTGGCCCGGCATTCGGTAACCATTCACTTGGTAACCCAACATAGCTGGGGCCATCATATTGGAGGACATCTGAGCTGCTGCTGCTGCCTGGTGTGATTTATATTTATAAGACAATGGCACCTGGGACTGTAAGTTTGAGATGGGTGGTGTCATATTACGTTGGGCAGCAGCAGCAGCTGCAGTGACGGCGGGTGGTGGAGTAACGGTGTGAGATGGGGGAGGTGTCACTGTGTGTGGTGGAGGAGTTACACCTGCACATGGGGGTGGTGGCACAATATCCATAATCCCATTTGTAAGCTGCTGCAACCGTGCTATACTACACGATGAAGCACTTCCTTGAGCTCCTCCTGGGTGATGCTGCTCATTAGCCATTGGAGTTGGGGTGGGAGATGGTCCTGGAGGGCTGGAATTTAGAAAGTGGTAATTGGCTCCTGAAGGTCCACATACACTAGAAGCACTTGCCGCATGGGTAGAACGTTGAGAAGACGAGGCAGAGGAAGAATTTTGACCAGAGCGTTGGGCTGAGGCTGAGGAGTTATGGTTTGTACCCTGCTGAGGAGTGCTTGGTCCCCCCATACGTGACTGTATAACTGAAGTCATATATGAAGATGAATGAGCAGGCGTGTGTGCCTGAGCATATGTAGTCACAGATGGCTGTGGAAGATAACCCTGACTGATCATTGACCCATGATGCCCTAACATTTGCTGATGTGGCCCCATCATATAATTTGGATGATGACCAAAGTTTTGCATTTGTGAATGTGTGTGTGTTACATGAGGAGTGCGTGGAGGGTGTGGAGTGTGGGCACCATGAGGGTGGTAGGACATAGGGTGGTGCTGACCTAGACCTGAGGGTGGGTGAGAAGTGGATGCTACCATTCGTTGAGTCATTGCATTAACTTGACTGGATACATGCATGGCTGCAACAGACTGAGGAGACAGCTGAGTGCTAAGGTTGGATGGTGGCCGGGAGCCAGCAGAAGTCACCTGTGTTTGTGGTTGGGAAGGGGGTTTAGGCTGTATATGCCGTTGTTTGGATGGTTGGTGCTTAGCTGGTGCTTGATGTGAATGTGTATGGGGCAACGTTACTACCCCAATTGTAGGAACAGTTTGAGCCGCAGCCTGTGTAATAATTGCCTGCGGCTGAGGTTGAGGCTGTGGAATTGGCTGTGGAAGTATAGGGGTGGGGGTTGGAGTGGTCCTTGCTATGTGTGGAGGAGTTGGAGTAGTAGGTTGTGTATGAGTTGGGGTAGTGGGCTGCACATGGGTTGGGGTGGTGGGCTGTACATGGGTGGGTGTTGGAGGTTGGACTTGACTGGATATTTGTGCACAATCACTATAGCTCTGTGGTGTTGATGCTTGCTGAGGTGCTTCCACAGAATGAGCCATTTCATTACTTGATATGGATGTTGGGGATTCAATACCAAGCTGTGATACATCAAATTCACCCTGTGAATATCCATGCATTGAATGCACAGAATTTGTGGTGGAATCTGGTGTATACACACCCATGCTGCTAACATCTTGTTGGTGTGGTGGAGTAGGAGTAGGTGCTTGGCGGGTGATCACAGATGTGGTATTGGTCGAACCACAAGATGAGGGTGATGTGTTCCCTGCTGAAGAATTTAATGCTTTAGGTCCATCTTCAACATCTAATGCAAGGTCATGTGTGTGTGCAGCCTCTTGTCCTGTTAGATGATTATCTATCTTTGGCTCGTCAATGGGTTCAAACGTTTGTTCCATTTGTGAAGGCAAGTTCTCTTCCTGATGACCAGCAGCACTGAGTGTGTCCTGTACTCCAGGAACTGTGGCCTGCACCCTGGACTCACTTGCATGACCTTCACCTTCCTCAGAACACTCCTTGGCTTGTTCTTGTTGCTGATGTTGCAAATCTTCTATCACAGGCTCACAATGCTGATCTTTACTATCTTGCTTCTCTTGGCTATGGTGACTAGATACTGATGATAGTATAGGAGTTTCAGAGACAGGTACAGTTTCCCCAACTACCGGCAAGTGACACGAAGATTGACTGTTCTCTAAGCCAACTGGCCGAGGGGAGAGGCCTATTGGTGAGGGTGAGGCTGGTCTTACTGGTTCATCTGCAATTTCTGGGATTGGAGAGGAAGGCGAGTGCAGTGAAGCAGGAGATCCAATTGAGGACGGTGAAGCTGGAGATGCTAAGGACTGAGGAGAAGTGGGAGTAACTGGAGCAGGAGCACAGGGTGGCTCTAGTGGAGAGTCAGATGGAAGTAATGATGGCACAGGGGAAGGTGTGGGTGATGGAGGCGCTGGTGCTGGAGGTGGAGAACTGGGGATGGGAGAGGGAGGAACAGAGGATACTGGAGACCTAGAATGCTCTAAAGAATTAGTAGGACTTGGAGGAATTATTTCAGCTGACTGTAAGGAGGAACAGGGAGGAATGACTGGGGAAGGATGTGGAATTAACGACACATTTAATTGTGGCAGGGCAGGACCGAGAACCTTGGGTTCCTCAATGATCTCGGGTGGTCTGGTATCCTCAATCAATGTGGGATCTCGTTCCTCTGTTCCTCCCCAAATACTCTCAACAGCTTTTGTGACTTCTTCCTGATATGCTTCATCTACTCTACCATCTCCTACTTTACATTCTACAACTTCATGAACTTCTACTGGGGGTGGACTGTTGTAAGTTTCATGCTCCAGACAATCTCCATTGGGGACACCCTCACAAGTTCCATTTATAATGCTGGCTACAGCTTTGTCTGCTTCACTCAGTTCCTGTTCTGCATCACTACCTGCTTCTTTCTCAATTACCACTTCCTTAGCAGGGTCATGATTCTCTTTCTCCACCTCCATTTCATCATTCTGTCTTTCTGTATCTTTTCTATCACTTGTATCTAAATGTTTACTTTCTGATTCAGAGGCAATACCACATTCTTTAACTACCTCCATCTCACTATCAGAATGTGTTATGTTTTGCACTGCTTCATCATTATTGTTCACTACATCACCACTGCTCTTGTTCACTACTTCATCACTACTCTTGTTCACTACATCACTACCCTTGTGCACTATTTCATCACTGCTCTTGTTCACTACTTCATCACTACTCTTGTTCACTATTTCACCACTACTCTTGTTTAGTACTTCATCACTATCCTTGTGCACTACTTCATCACTGCTGATGTCATTTATAGTCTTATCATTTTCCACCGCACAATTTTCCTCACGCACTTCCCTTTCTTGAATCTTTTCTTCATTTTTATTTTCCCCCACCACAGTACTATTCTCACCATTGTGAAAAACTTTGTTAGCTTCCTCATTCTGAAGTTTACTTTCCTGAATGGATTCTACTTTATCCATTCGGTTCTCAGTCTTTTCCAAATGGCTCTCTGTCACGCCCAGCTGGTTCTCCACCTCCTCTCTCGATTCCAGCACATTTTCTGTTGTATTCAACTTGTTTTCGGTCACTTCCATTTGGTCATCTGGTGCATCCATCCAGTCTTCTGATGGGGCCATATGATTCTCTGTTGCATCCAGGTGGTTTTCTGTCACCAACAGGTTTTCTGCTGATGTACTCAGCTTCTCAGAATCCTCATGCAAACTTTCTTGCAGGTCAGCAGCATCCACTGCAGGAGGCTTTTTGTCTTCTTTAAACTGTAAAGGAAAAATACTGGTAAATAACAAAGGTTCACCTCTGGTTTTTATATAATTAATGATAGACTCATGGTATAAGCAAAACTGAAACCAATATTATAAATGTTTACTCTGAAATTTTAAAAAATTAATCGAAACAATATTTTTGTTAACTATCCTACCTAAATGCCCCTTTTAAGTTAAATTTCTGCATCTTTTGGGGGAAGGGAGTTGTGCAGTAAGGGAGGAAGGGAGGGTAACATTTGAAGCACTTTTATTTTAGTGTCTTTTCTTGAAGTACTCTTCATGACCTGTTTGTCAGAAAATTGAATATCCATTGCTACCTCATTTTAGAGGCTATTGCTCAATTGTCATTTTTATCAAATACATTCATACAGCCTGTATAAACAACATCTGCATACTGTTTTTGTTTGATGATCCTGTGATTTAGCATTGTAGTTTAGCAGTTCAGAAAAGCAGGATCTTCTTGTGCTAAGTACACACCGACTTGCACTGTATAGTTTTCCTTCCATAAAACTAAAGAGTTAACTTTAAATCACCTTCTCAAAGGCTTTACTGTAGTAATATTTGACTTTGCTACCTTGCTACCTTCTGGAGTTGAGCAACATCTGCCATTTTAATAGCCTCTAGAATCTCTCGAGTATCTAAGCTTTTTTGCCATAGTACACCCAGTACTTGTGCTACTATTGTTTTTATTACTTTAAATATGAAACTCCATAAGTAGAGGGTCATAAATTATAGACGGTCATAAGTTACAGGGTCAAGTGCATGGACATGTTATCAATGGATGTTGTCTTAATACCCAAAAATTTTATGAATAAGTATCATTTATTAAAAAACTGTTGGGGGTGTTTATCAGTCATATTGTCCAGGTCCATCAGGTTTCTTAATCAACCTCTGCATGACAACCATCTACTACAAGTAGAGGACCATGAAAAATAATTTTGGATTTCTTTCAGGTGATGAATCAATTAGCGCTCCATATAGATCTCAAGGTTTCCAAGGAGGGGTTCCAAAGACTTTCTGAAGGTGTATTATTTGAGCTTTCTATAGCATACATTACCTAGATGATATAATTACCAGTGTACCAGTGACAGTGCCATCTGTGGGCATGTATGAAATGTTCCCTGTGGCACTGGTACCTTCAATGTCACTGCCTCACTGAATAATTTACTTACCCCAAAGACGGCAGACTTACTTTAGGCAATAATTAATCAAGTCTGCTCTGAAATGCAATTTAAAGCATATTATATATTATATAATATGCTTGAATTGTGAAGTATCTACTATAAATTAAGTACCCCGATAGGCTTGTACATGACAGTATTTGCAGCTGCACTTCACAGTTATATCAATGTTAAAAATATAATGGTGACTGTAATAAACCCCTTTTATTACTGGTAGTTCCTTGAAGCTAGCTTGCTGAGGTAGCTTCCCCTACTGAATCACGCAGGCCTTACAAGTCCAGAATGGCCTACCATTCCTGTTCAGCCCAAAGCTGAACGGGAAGAAGCGATAGTATTAGCAAGAAACGACGAAGACGAAAAGAACAAAGCCACCAGAAGAGACACAAAGAAAACATTGCTGAGTGACAGAGGCAAAAGTATCACAAACACACTTCGCTGTCACCGCGACGAAAGATGTAGAATGGATAACAACTCGGCTACTGCACACCATACAAATGGTGATAGACTCGCATTTTATAGCCTAAATACATAAACTGGCTGAGAACATTAAACAAGCACGGTACATCACTGGGCTGATCTTCTGGAAAGGGCAGGGCCACATAAAATGCTAGGATTCAGACACCAGGCCAGAAGAGTCAGAAACCAAGGCTAGAAGCATCAGCTAGCCCAATTAAGTCTCCAACTAAGACAACACCCAGAGCAACAGCTGAACCACATTCTCAACCAGTGCCAGCTGAAAGGGATCCACAGCGGGAGTCTTGCTACTGTGGAACAGATCCATGGAAGATGGAAGAGGGAAGCAATCAATTCAGTTGCCACTAGGTGGACCTCATGACAACTGAATGTCTAGTAGAGCCAACAGAAGGACATAATACAATCATCCACTCTGTTGAAATGGGATGGAAATAAGAGAGAGACCATCCACAAGCACGTTGGGACACATCCTGCATGTGAACCTAGTGGAGAACCAAACACTAAGAATCCAAAAGCTGAGCTACTCGCAAAGACAAACGCTAAAGGGGAAAGCCCCATAATTGCCCCCATAATTCAGCAAATGAACCATTGATGAGCAGTCAGAATGGAAATAGAGAATTGACCTTTGAGGAAGACAAATCCCCTCAAAGGGCCTGCCACACCACCACAAACTCATACACCGCACTGTGCACCCAAAAGAGCAGACCCAACCAATTTGGGAGGTACGGTAAGCAAAGGTCACAAAACTCCATCCCAAAGCCTAAGCATCTGGGGGACACAGTGATGGGAGGAAGGTGGCATGGAACTGAACCTGGAAATAAACCTGGAAAAACCCGAAAAAGAAACTGGTAAAGCAAGAACCGACAAAGGACAAATGGGCCCAAACTCGATGGTACCCGCAGAACTGAAATTGCCAGAATCGCAGGTATGAGCCCAACACCCAGAGCCAAACTATACCCAGGAGAAACACCAAACAAGCAAATTTAGGTTCCTGCAAAATCACCAAGTAAATGAAGCCGATGTGTCCCTTAATACAGGAAACCTGAAATTTCATCAAGAAATGTTCTGTCTGCCATGTAATTTCATTCCATGTACAATTAAATAGGTTAAAATAGATATAATGAACTTTGGGAATTAACATGAATGTATAATAATAAATGAAGTACTGACAGTACCTATGATTAGTCACCTCTATGCTACTAAGGTGCTGGCCTCTGTATCACATGCACTAACTTAATATCATGCAACTCAAAACACTACACACATTCCTGCTCATCAAATTCTTTCAAAGCATGGAAGACTTACCCATCGCCTCCCTCGTCCCCTTCCAGATGGTCTACTTGGGCCTCGGCCCCTGCCACGGCTCGTGTTCTTCGGGCCCCGAGGCACACCTTTCGGCCAGCCTCTCTTTCTGACAAGCGAGGGCTGCTCGCTCTCATTTATTTTATCGTCTGGATCTGGAGTTGCCTTGTTCTCTACTTTGGTATCTGGTAAGGTTTCTGAGTTGGCATCCTCCTCATTTTTCTTATTTTCTGGTGACTGAAAATACAAAAACAGATATTTTAATTTAGAGAAATAAATATAAAGCTGACCCTCAAAGCTTTCAGAATTTCAAATAATTGTATATACACAGTTTTAGTCAGGTTTAAGAAATTATGTTCAGTTTATATTCTTGGACAAAAGAAAAGTACTCTTTGTTAGAGTAAAGAAATTGTAGAACCACTTGAACTAGACGGTAGAGCAACGGTCTCGTTTCTTGCAGAAATGAGACCGTTGGCGTTTAATCCCCGACTGTCCAAGTGGTTGAGCACCATTCCTTCCCTTTGTCCTATCCTAAATCCTTATCCCTTTATCCCTTCCAAGTGCTGTATAGTTGTAATGGCTTAATACTTTCTCCTGATAATTACCTTACCTCTGTGGAAGGTTTCATATGTGCAATATCCTCCACAGTCTGCCTAAACATGGCAGCAATGTCACTCAAGTCTCCAAAAGTTGGCACTAAGAACTGATATGGTCTTGGAAGAACCTCAAAAAGCTTATATTGAAAAGCACACAAGAGCCAGAGAGCATCTTGCTATCCTTGTTAGTTACATGCACACTTAACTATTACTGATATGATCACTACATAGCACAGTGTCATCCCATATCTATTAACTTTACAAATGCCCTTAAAGATAATAAGATATGGTCTCCAAGGAGGCCCTAACAGTGAATACATTGTGAAACACATGAGGTTGAGGGAAGATCAATAGAAAGTGTGACTGACGACCTTGACTGCACCCTCCGAGTTACAGTTACTCGTGACAACTTTTTAAATATTATTATTATTATTTTTATTATTAATATTACTATGTTGCACCTACACCAAAACAGGTCTGATTTTATCTTTTTGTTGGCATAAGATGATTTTGAGGACTAATGGCTTTATCTGTGCATTATAATTACGGGTAAAGTAGGTCTGAGTAGTAAGACCCACAAAAACCGTTATAAGCCTTGTTCATATTATGACAAGTTGACAGCTATAGTACATCTTAAAGGGGGTACAATACTACTACTACTACTACAACAATAAAAAAAACTACAGTATTTTTTTGTGAAAATAATTATTACTGACTAGTTTCCAATACTGTATTATGTGTAATGTGCAGAGATGCAACCAAATTCAATTTTCAAATCTAAATGACAAAATCTGACCTGAATCTGTTACTTTTCTGTATCCAGAGTCCAACAAAATCCCTCAAGGTAACTTTGTGTTTAGTCCTTAAAATGTAGATGGAATTCAGTTAATAATAAACAGTTGGTCTGTTAGTCTGCTGATAGAGCCATGATAGAGTGGCTAGATAGATGAAGATCTAGCTTTAGCCATGATAGAGCATTAATGATGCTATAAATTTCATTAAAAATGTAAAAAGTTTTAAATCCACTTGCATTTACAAAATTCATTTAGATCAAATATTTTAGTATTACAGTACTAGTATGTATTTTTCTTGCACATTATTTTACTCTCACTCATTCACTAGATCAATGTGACTTCTTAGCACCATCTTGACTCTGGATTTTACTTGTTCCAGTCACTACTCAATTTAACTTTATCTAATTGCCAAAGGAGTTACTTTTAAAATTTATGTCTGAATAATTTATTCATCATTCACTCAGACCCAATGAATCTATATTCTTTAATCGTCCAAATGACGTAATCTAACATTTTAACACAGCATGCAGTTCAGCTCTGAGACAATTTGCATCTTTAAAACAACATACAAGATGTTATATACAATTACATTAATCAGGCTAAAAAAAAAAAATTGAACCTTGAAAGTTCTTCAAAATCACACAAATATATGAATAAATAAATAAAATTTTGAATGACAAGTAGATGAAACAAAAAAAGTTCAAGGCACTCGATCGGCAGGAAGGGATAAAATCTAGCAACATTTCTATTATATCTAGCAGATATGAGAGAAAAGATTATCATATCTTCTGCAAGAATACTGGGGCAGATCATGTACAGCACATCTTTGATTCAATTATATGTACTAGTGAATAATGTACAATGCAGCCTAGATAGATTTATTCAAGTGTATCCAACTTAATAGCATGCCAGAAGATCAAAGCATAAACACACTGATATGAATTACTATATTTAAAAATTGTCCTTCAATAAGTTAACCCTCTATAATCTTACCTGTTCAGGTTGAGGAGCGTCTGTTCGCTTCTCAATGTCAACCATAGGCTCGAGGTGTGGCATTTCCAAGTCCGTGTTGTCCACGCTATCATTGAAAAGAGCGGCAGTGTTAAAATTACTGACATTTAACCACATGGAGAGTGAAACAACAAAGCACTGAATACTACAGCAGAAACAATCCTAGAAAATTGTGTTTTTTTACCATGAAATGTTTTAAGAAATATTTTTTGCTGGATCACAAAGAGAAAGGTATTGTATAGGACGTTTTGAAGGTTCACAAAGGAAGACAGGATATTTTATGGATCACAAAAAGAAAATTTTATGTATCACAAAAAGAAAATTTTATGGATCACAAAAAGAAAATTTTATGGATCACAAAATGCAGAAAATTTTGCTCGTTGACTAAAGATTAAAGGCGGTAGACTAAACTTAATACAATATTGTGTAAGATCAATGTTAGAAAATCATACAAATATGTTTGATAGGAAAGCCCACAATTCTGTATTCTCTATCAAGTGTAAAATCATCACTACTCCATTACTCTACTCCCCCTATTATGAGTGGGGAATGCATCCAGTCAAGCTAGGTGAGCAATACCTGAGCTATGGTGCTATTTGTTGAATATAGAACAAATATTTTAGGCAGGAGCCCCTCCAAAACCTACCTGTGCTCACCTACGTAGCATGCAGTACATCTACTGTAATGCAGTGTTTGTCTCTCTACAGGAATTAAGTTGAATAGAATGTGTGTGTGTGTGTGTGTGTAATTCTCTAAGTGTAATTACCTAAGTGTAGTTACAGGATGAGGGCTACGATCGTGGTGTCCTGTCATCCCAGCACTCTGTCATATAACGCTTTGAAATTACTGACGGTTTTGACCACCACCACCACCTCACCTAACTTGTTCAAACCATTTACCACTGTTTGCGAGTGAATTTTCTTATATTTCTTCAGCATCTGTGTTTAGTTAGTTTAAATTTATGACCTCTTGTTCTTGAAGTTCCAGGTCTCAGGCAATCTTCCCTATCATACTGTGACGATAATCTCCTTCAAGAGATTGAGCCTGCTCTTCCCTCCAAAAATACGTCGATACATCTATATAAAACAAGTATGGAAGAAAAATCCAACAACGACAACACCAGCAAGGTTTGCCAGAGCGCAAAACGTATGCAGCCAGGAACACCTGCTCCACCTCAAACCGCCAAACTACCTGTCTTGTTGCCGGCTCATCGCTGATTGGCTGCCGGTCTAGCTGCAACTGCACTCCACCCACCATACTACTTGATGTCTGGGGCCGCCACGACCTCAGTCTTCAGAATATTCAGTGCTTTCATAAGGTTAACACGTCTTCTTGGTAGACTAAGCTGTGGCTTACGTGTACTAAGAGAGGTGATAGCTTAAAGCCAATATTCCTGCACCTCCTATTTACTTGTTTCACACTTGTTATTTGTTCATTTGTCTTAACGTAACTTTTCATTGTGTCATTTAATTATTCTTATTATTTTGATTGCTTTTATTATACGAATTTGTGTGTCCATTTTATTCATGTTTTGCTTTCTTTAACGTAATTAAAATTTCATTGTTAAAATTTACTTGTGTTTTGTGTGTCTTCTCCTTACCTTACCACAGACGAAGTTCCAGAATTTCTATTTTTTTTTCTATATGTGACGAGGCCATACCCCTAGCTTTTGAACAGCCGTACACCAACGCGTTACCGTCACAATACTATCATATGAATGCATATGAATCTTCCCTATCGATTTGATCAATTCCTGTTACTATTTTGTACGTAGTGATCATATCACCTCTTTTTCTTCTATCTTCTAGTATTGGCATATTTAATGCCTCTAACCGCTCCTTGTAGCTCTTATCCTTCAGTTCTGGGCATGTCTTTGGCATGCCCAGAACTGAAGGCATGTCTTTGCACCTGTTCCAGTTTGTTGACGTGCTTCTCAAGATATGGGCAGCATACAACCCCTGCTTATTCCAGTTTTGGTTTAACAAAAGTCATGAACAATTTTTTAAGTATTTTGCCATGTATTTAAAAGCAATTCTGAAGTTAGAAAGTCCATAAGCCCCTCGCACAATGTTCTTAATGTGATCCTCAGGTGATAGTTTTCTATCTAGAACTACCCCTAGATCTCTTTCTTTATCAGACTTCTTTAAAGATTTCTCACATAATTTATAGGTTGTGGGGGGTCTATGATCTATTCCACATTCCATAACATGGCATTTATTTACATTAAATTCCATTTGCCAAGTGGTGCTCCATATACTTATTCTGTCCAGGTCTTCTTGAAGGGTATGACAATCATCTAAGTTACTTATCTTCCCTATTATCTTAGCATATTCAGCAAACATGTTCGTATAATTCTGTATTCCATCTGGTAGATCGTTTATGTAGACAATGAACATTACTGGTGCAAGAACTGAACCCTGTGGTACTCCACTTGTGACATTTCTCCAGTCTGATACACTTCCTCTTATTACTGCCCTCATTTTTCTATCAGTCAGAAAATGTTTCATCCATGTTAGCAGCTTACCTGTCACCCCCTCCCCCCTCCCCAATGTGTTCCAGTTTCCAGAATAACCTCTAATGTTGAACTCTGTTGAAAGCCTTTTTTAGGTCCAGATAGATGCAGTCAACCCAACCATCCTTTTATATCTCTGTGGCTCGATCATAGAAACTGAGTAAATTTATTACACAAGATCTTACAGATCGAAAACCATACTGATGGTCTGATATTATATAGTTTGTATTCAGGTGTTCTACCCATTAGTTTCAATAATTTTTTCTAATATTTTGACTTATTACACTTGTCAATGATACAGGTCTATAAGTGAAGGGGTCTTCCCTGCCACCACTTTTGTAGACTGGAACTATGTTAGCCTTTTTCCACATTTCTGCTACGACCCTTATACACAGGGATGCCTGAAAAATCAGGTGAAGTGGAATGCTGAGCTCAGGTGCACATTCTCTCAGAACCCATGGTGAAACTCCATCTAGTCCAACTGCTTTGTTCTTACTTAGCTCCTTGAGCATATTTCCACTTTGTCTCTAGACACCTCTGTGTGTTCTATGTTATTCACTTGAATTCTTATTGTGTCTGGTTCTCTGAAGATTTCATTTTGTACAAACACACTTTGGAACTTTTCGTTTAATGTTTCACACATTTCATTTTCATTTTCCGTGAATCTGTTTCCCATTTTTAACCTCTGGATATTATCCTTTACCTGCAATTTGTTGTTTATGAATTTGAAGAATAGGCCTGGTTCTGTTTTACATTTGTCCGCAATCCCTTTTTCAAAATTTCTTTCTGCCTCTCTCCTTACTGTTGTGTCGTTGTTTCTCGCATCTTTGCTTCGCTGGTATGCTTAACAATAGTTATATAATTACCCAAAGGGGGTAATTATATGACTATTGTGCCCATGTCCAATACAATCCTTTATGGCACCACAATATGTAAGTGCTGAAATTTCAAGCAGAAATGTAAAGGCATTCTCTAGATACTAATCGAGAGGCTGGGATTTAACAAAAGAATTTGTTTATTGACGAGTTTTAATCCCTATAGGAATTGATTTATATTCCAAAAACTGGAATTTTATTATTATATACTCTTAACACTTTGCACGGCCAGGCGTGCGCATCCCAGCGCACCCCAAGGTGGGCCTGGCGTTTCTCAGGAGTGCACACCCATACTAAAATGTGTATTCTCTTTCCTGTGTTCTGACCTCAATTTCCGTGCTACATCATTCATTTTGGTATCAAATTGTTCACAAACTAATGGTGCACATTGTAAAATTAGTCACATAATAATCAAACAATAAATGGAATTTTAAGAAATATTTTAATCTTGGACGTTCTTTAATAAATATTTTAATCTTGGACGTTCTTTAATAAATATTTTAATTTTGGACGCTCGGTACTTTATAATCAATAAAGTGATCTGACCTCAATTGTTGTGCTACATCATTCATTTCTGTTAAATTGTTCGTAATCTAAAGGCGCACATTTTAAAACTAGTCCCATAACAATCGAACAATAAATGTAATTTTAACAAATACTGTACTGTATTTTAATTTTGGATAAAAAATGCGTCTCCGCTGGACATCCTCAGAGTTAATTATGGATGCAATATCTGTCGTCGAGAGCTGAAAGTGTTAATACTGTACTTTTATTTTCACAATTTTGCTTTTGAATAGAACATACAATGCATCCTCCAAAATTAGGACTAATTGGTTCCAAACTCATTACAAACTTTCAAATCCTTTGCATTCTATATTATTGTCAACAACTTTTTGTATGTTTTCATGCCATTAATAATAGAACATATTTGCATGTTTGCACACATACATGCAGGCAATATACTGCTTTAGGTTTCTGGGAAAGGAAAAGCACCGAGATGAAATGGACAATTGTTGGGAACCACAAACCTGCTAGCTTTTCAACATTCCCCATAAACCAACTACTGACAATTTCCAAAAATTCAGCCCACTTTAGTTGCCTAATACCTGGGTACCCATTTACTACTAGATGAACAGCGGCATCAGGTAAAAGGAAATGTGTCCAAACATCTCTGTCTTGCTGTGGAAATCGAACCTAGGACCTTTTGGCTGTGAACTGACTATCTATATTAAAAAAAAAATTTACTTACCTTTTCATAGAATAGCCTTATATTTAACCTGTGCTCAATCTAACAAAAACTTAAGCTATTGCCTTTTTCTCTCAATCTTTGCCAGTACAACTCTCTTTCTCCTGGCAATGCCCTCTAAAATCTGTCTAGTATTTTCTCCTTTCTTTGTGATAAAAAGTGTTAGTGCCAACAACAAACTCATCTGCCAGCCTCCATACTCTTTGACCATAATAAATTTTGTATATAGCCTCTTTGTTCATGTTAAGATAAATCTTCGTCCTTCTGGGGCCTGACAGCTGAGTGGACAGCTCTTCGGATTCGTAGTCCTGAGGTTCCGGGTTCAATCCCCGATGGAAGGCAGAAACAAATGGGCAGTTTTTTCACCCTGATGCTCCTGTTCACCTAGCAATAAATAGGTACTTGGGAGTTAGACAGCTGCTACATGCCGCTTC